AAGAAAGAAGCTGTAAAACATGGTGATGTTCTGGGTGGGTGAGTACTGAAAAAAATTGGTCCCAAGCCTTAGTGTTCAAAAGGTGATGGAGTTTTGTTTAATTACAAAGAAGAAGTGCTCACAGGTCTGTACGATAATTCAGGCTGGAAAGGACCCCAACTCATAGCAGGCCCAGGCTGCTCAGGGCTGTATCTAGTCAGGTCTCGAAAACCTCCAAGGATGCAGGATAAGACCTTTCATAGCACATTAAAAAGTACAAGCATAAACTTGGCTGACTGTTGTTTGTGTTTGGTAATGAGGGACAACGTCACTATTACATCCATTGAATCTAGTTTCTGGAGTGAAGCTGACTGTAGAGGGAGGAAATTAATTTGCTCCAATTAACACCTTTAGCTTAAAAATATAGCAATTGTGGCAGCTGCAGTGAAGTATCAGATTTGATACTTTCCCCTCTTGTCATCCCCACACTGTTCCAGGTTGCAGTCTTCCACAGTTAAGGCCACACTCTCCCCTTCTCTGATGTTTCTGTGAAGACCTGTGAAACCAGCTCCTGTTTTTCTGGTGTTAGCAATTCAGCCTGAGGGGGAGTGGTCTAAACAGATCCAATTATACACACATGGATGTCAGTGTTTCCCCATTCATAGACACAAGCCAGTCAATATAAAGACCAGATCAGCTGTAAGAAAAAAAAGAATAAAATGGATGAACAAAACAAAGTTTTTCCCACCTTGTCCCGCAGTTTCCTCTCCTTCCGCTCTTGCACCGTAGTCAGATAATTCACTGCTGCGTATTCCAGCACCGAAAGGAAGACAAACACAAAACTGACCCACAGGTAAATGTCCACTGCTTTGATGTAGGAAACGCGAGGCATGGAGGCATTCACCCCAGTGATGATTGTAGACATGGTCAGCACGGTGGTTATCCCTGGAAAGAACCGAGAGAAATAGGTGTTACTGACTCATACAGTCTATAAGGCTTTTGTCTTAAGAAAAACAGAAATTATGCTCCAAATGATGCTCTGTAAGATATCAGACATGAAAGAAATTTGTGATAAGTATCTCTCCTGCCAATGCAGAACTGTTTCACTACCTGCACTTCTGTGCGCATGATGGGTTTAGTTTTGAGGAGCAGTGGAGCAGCCATCATTTTGCTAGGAACAGCATTCAACTCCCTCCTTAACTGCTAGAGTTTTAACACTGTGCTTAGAGCCAGGTCTGCTAAGACCAGTGGTGACAGGGACTCCTGTTTCCTAGCTGTACCAATCTGTGTTACAGGCACTGCCAGAATGCAACTTAGAATTGACCTTTGGTCACAGCTAAAGAGGATTTGATCTAAATCACTGATCCTAAAAGGGATGTGCAATAATGATAAAATGTTTTTCATGAAACTATGCAAAAGAAAAGTGTTATGTTTTTACCTCCAGGCATATTTGTCTACAGTTCAAGCTGTGGGGATCAAAAAGTTTTGAACAACCACTGTATTATATATAGAGATGTGTGCATGTATATGTGTTTCTAAACACATGTGTATTTATGTCTATATACATACCTCTGTGTGTGAATGTGTACATATATTGAGACAGATATAGTTAAAATCCTGCAAAATAGTATATACTTTGGATTGTCATGGAGAGAAGGATATTTACAAGTTCCCAAAGTCATTTCAGTAGAGAAAACAGAGCCAAAAAACATTCATAGTTACTTCAGCCATTTCAAAAGAATGACCACTGTAAACACAGCTACTGTTGTTCACTTTTCGTCAGGATCTAATATTTTTTGAATAATAGCCACCAAACACATTTATTTCGGTGGAGCAGACTCTTGCCTGCCTCTTCTTGTATGTTTGCTGCAATGCATAGCTCTCTAAGTGAGACAAACTTGTGGGCTAAAATACTGGGTTTATGCTTTTAGTATTGGAAGCCTTACATATTAACATTCAGAGATTTTCTCCTACCACGTTTTTGCCTTCCTCTAACCTATGCATGGAGTGATAAATAATTCAGCTCTTTATGCTCAGCCGAAAGAATTTCTTCCAGTCCTGATGTAGACAAAGCTCCTCCTGATCGGTTTTAGGTGTCCGGAGGGGTAGATTGCTGTGCACAGGATTTTCAAGCAGCTCCTTCTTTGCTTTCCCACTCCCTCAAATGAGAGACCTCCCTACCCCAGAAACGTTGGACCCTCAGTGCGAGGGCCCCTTGGAAGTGGAGAAACACAACCTCCGCCTCACCTTGGGGCTGGTGGCCTCTCATCCTCAGCCCTGCAGATGTGAGAGGAAAGCCCCGTTCCCTTCACTGCCCTGCTGTTGTCTGAAACCTGATATTCCAGAGATGCCCTGAGTGTCCCCAGGGGCACACCAGATGGAGGGACACCTAAGTGTGCAGGTGCTGATAGGACTAGATCCTTGCTGCCTTTCTTTCCCAACTTTGTGAAGATGTGCCACATCAGCTCCCTACAGGCAGCCTGGAGAAAACCACCAGCCACAGCACTAGTGCTGACTGGTTGGGAAGACCTAGCTAGGATACCCGCTGTGGCAGCTGGGACATGACAGGATCCTGCTCATGAAAGGCACTCATGAAAACTCTAACAGAAGCCTTTAACTCCCTGTAGAGGCCTAAACTCCTGTAAAACTCTACCTTCACCGATGGCGATGTGTGTCAGAACTGCAGGACTGCACAATGGGGAAAATTTTTGATTCATTGGCTCATAAATACTGAAACCTCTCTTCTCTGCCCAACTTTATTTTTAAAACCACATCCCTCTCTGTCCTAAGCTAAGTATAGATCAGGATGACTGTTTAGCAATGAAGGACTTAAGACAAACTGCAAGTTTTACATTATATTAACCATCATCCAAACCAAACATTTGCTTGTCCAGTATCTTTAACCATCAAAAAGAATAGTTTCCTTTCCTGACAAAATTTTCACATTCAAAGATTTTCACACAGTCGTGGCTTGTTGCAGTTGTTCTCACCCAAAGAGACTCTGGCAGGAACTGCTCGGCGATCGATCCAGAAGGACACCCAGGACAACATGACCATGAGTGTGGCAGGGAAGTAGGTTTGGAGCAAGAAGAAGAAGATGTGTCGTCGTAAAGTGAAGTTTATATAGAGGCGATTGTACCAACCTTTGAGAGAGGAGGAAAGCCAGAATCGGTGAGAACAGCCTGGATGGCAGGCACAGAGAGACAAGATTTTTCTTTTGATCTTTTATTTCTAAAGGGTAGAGAAAAGAGAAACTGATCTTTCAAAACATGTGCTGTCCAGACAGTGGAGACTACATTTCAGTGACATGTAATCCCAAGAGCTCTCTCACAAGTAGTTAATACAGCATTAGGTTTAGCAATAGCATTAAATCAGAAAAGGCCAATACCTGTGCTACTGTAGAAAGCCAGTCTCGACGTAGTGTGAAATTTTTGTATCAAAAACTGAGACAAAGTAATCTTTTCATCAGTCTTCAGAGATTCATTCCCATTTTTCCAATACAGCATCAGATCTTCATCAGTGTAAGCATCTT